GCTCAATATACTGATGGGGGGTGGGTGTGTAGGCTGTTGGGTTATAAAAATGTATCAAGCTATATACAGTGTACATAAAGGGCCATATAGTCCAAGGCTGCAGCAGATTTCAACAAGGAAAGACCTCACCTGTACACGCTTGGAGCTGAGGCAGGAGGAGGTCATTGCACAGAGATGCTGTGAGCATGTTGGTGTGTTGCCTGCTGGAGATGTGTGCAGTGAGGGGAAGACACTAAAGTGCCTGTTGTATTGTTTTGTTTTTGCTTTTTAGACTTCAGCTGAATTTGGGTCCTGATTCCCCAGGCTGTGGGTCATCTAGGAGCCTTGGCCACCTAAGCACGGGTTCACTGGGGCTGAATTCGGGTGTGTTGCATCCTCTGGATACCCAGTGGGGTGGAGACGAGATGCCTCCAGCTATGCCTCCGCAGATGGCTGGTGGGTCCATCTGCCAACCCTTGAACCGGAGACCTGTTATGTCCCACCTGGAGTGCTCCTCATGGCCACGCCCTGGATGGGACTGGTGGGAGCTGGTTTGCTGCTCTTGGCAAACATGTCCTGGGGAAAGAGGGCCAAATTTCTGCCCACCTCCCATGCCTGCTACATGCAGGGATGGAGGCCATGAGATGTAGTTTCATCTTGGAGCTGGGCTGGGAGGTGGAGAGAAAGGGATGTTTAGAGGAAGGGTTAAATAGTCCAAGGTGAAGGGATGGGAGCTTGGTGAACTGGGACTCAGTGGAGGGTGGAAAGAGCGTGGTGAACGGGCACGGTCTGTGTGTGGGGAGCTGAAGCTGTACCAGCTGAAAGTCTGGTACAGAGGTCCAGCAGGAAAGGGAGAGCGGTGGAAAGGAGGGCAAGGGCAGATTGAGCGACATGGACAGACCCCATGGGGTAGATCTGGAGCAACCAGGGAGGCATCTGCAACCCTTGGTGTCCAAACTCACCTGAGGCCATGGGGTGGCCCTGGCCAGGGCCAACCGATGTCCTGGGAACACTTGTGAAGGGCCATGTGGATAGGGAGGTTGATGATGTTCCAGCTGTGACTGGTGAAGGTGCCGGTGGGGAAAGGGGTGGTTGCAAGACAACCTTAAAACCTAGGGAGCCCTCAGTAGGAGAAACTGGGAAATCCCTCTTGAGGTCCCCTGACCGGTCTTGCTTTTCCCTTCTCAATGCAGCGGTGATTGTGTGTAGGGACAGCTCATGTATGGGGACTTGGGAGGGAGTAGGGTCTGGACCATGGTGGGAACAGGGCCGTGAGATTGGGCAGGAGGGATGTTTTTGGAAAGGCTATGGGCCCAGACAGACCCGACCGAGCACCCGGTATAGGTAATGGGAGAACAAAGCATTGGAAACTCTAGAGATGGTAGCTTTAATAGGGACCTTCCCGAGGCGACACGTCCCCTTGCCCTGCTGCAGACATGAGCCTCTTCCCCACACGTGGAAATGTCCAGGAGGAGGGACGGAGGAGATCGGGAAGGAGAGAAGGACGAAGAAGAGATCTGAAAGTTAGGTAGCTCTATGGGTCAAAAATATACAACACTGATATCATACATGGCCATCAGTCCCCTCTGGCCTGCAGGCTGGGGCCAGGTGGTAGCCCCATGCAGCCAGCCCTGCTCCGAGTCCCCCCTGCCCTGTGGGGGGGTCACTTCCTCCGCCCGATTTGGGCCATGAGGTGCGCATTGGCAGCGGCCTTTGCCCGCAAGTTCTTGGCTTTGGCGATGTTGAAGAGGATGTTCATGATGTTGGTGGGGACATCGAGGGAGAGGGTGACCTTGGTGCGGCGGTCACTCTTGGCCTGGTTTTGGTACGTCTTCCCCTTCACCTGCGCTTGGGAGACGTATTTGTAATGGCCTTCACCCGGGAATGTCCTTTTCCCCATCTCTTCATCCACCGCGTCTTCCCCTTCCTCCTCCTCAGAGACCTCCTCCAGCAACTGGGAGTCGAAGCCACGCTTGTCCAAGATGGCGTTTTCCTCCGGGTGGCTCTTCTGGGCTTCAGCGAGGGCTGCGTTGAGGCAGCTGAAGATGGAGGCAGTGTTGTAGAGGCGGAGAGCTCGGCCGGTCTTGGCGGCACAGAGGAGGGCGAGGAGGAGCAGCAGCCTGGCGCGGAGCATTGTGGTGGCCTGCCCAGTGGAGAGAGTGAGGGGAGGGCAGAGATGGGCACGAGCTTCCCGTGGGGCCTGGGGCAGAGCACCGTCATCCCCCCATCCTTGGACATCTCATTCTCCCGGGTTCACCTCCCAGGTCCCCCCCAGGTCCCATCTAATGGTTAGGGCAGGTGGGAATGAGTTGCCCTGGGGCCTTCTCCTTCAAGGTGTAACCCCCCAGCCCTTGGTTTTGGGGTGTTGGGTGGGAGAGGGGGATTTCCAAGGTGTTTTGCAAAGCTGCAGCCTCCATGGAGGGGAGGATTGGGCCATCCCTTTGCCGAAACACAAGTGTCTGCTGCAGGAGAGCTGGTTTCTACCATGCCCCCTGCCCGGGGCGATCTCGTTGCTGTCCCCATGCAGCCCTCTCTCCAACTCGCAAACATCCACAGAGTAGCTGTGGGTACCACCGGCTGCTGTAAAGCTGGGTTTTCCTTTCAGCTCCTCTTTGGTCAGCGTGAAGCCACCAGAGATGTTTCTGTGCTCTCAGAGGTTGGCAATTGCCCGTCTCACCCAGCTTGCTCCGAAAAGGGCATGGAGAGTGGGTTAGAGCAGCTCCAGTGCTGGAGGTGGGATCCAGTGTGATGACCCCATGTCCCCTCTCCAGCCCTGGTCTGGGGAGCTCCGAGGTTGCCTGTTACCCCATGGCTTCGTCCCCAGAACCCCCCTCCACCCTGGGTGCAGGACAGGCTGCCCCATCTGATGGCACACCCAGGGCGCATTCCCCACCGAGGACAGCCCTGCCCGGGGACCGAAATCACAGCACAGCAGCATCACTCCCTGCTAGAAATATGGTCATTTTGGGGTCTCGGGAGGGCTGAAAACCTCGGGGTAACCCTCCTGCTCTGCAAAACCTCCTGTCTCTCTGGGAGGCGGCACGTCTCCCCGTGTACCCACCCAGCCACTTAAGGAGGCCACCTGAAAGGCCACAAGAGATCTCCTGCTGGGGGGCTTTGCCCGTCTCGAGGACAGACGAGTGTCTCTGGGGCCAGCCCCGAGGGCACACGGGCCCCCCAGTGCCTGGCGGCGTGCTGGCATTCCCAAGCTTCGGGCCCCATCTTGTGGCAAGCGG